TTTGCAGGCCAAATGCTTGACATTGAGCATTTGTTGGACTGCAACTGTGGCCTCAAAAGTTAGCAGGCCAACAACTTGACAAAACATGTGACTACATGTTTATGGGCCAACATATGTTGAAAGTATAGTTAAGCAACATTTCCGGACTACAATGCGCTGTGACCTCAACATGTTGCAGGCCAAATGTATGACAAAAGGGATTGGTGACTACACATTTTTGTGGGCCAACAAATTCAAAAATAGAGAAAGGGACAATCCGGGGTTATAGCCTCTTGTGGCCTCAAACATTTGCGGGCCAAATAATTGACAGCAACTTGTTATTTAAGGAACATATTTGGACTACACATGTGCGGCGGCCTCAAGCATTTGCAGGCCAAATGCTTGACAAATAAGTTGGTAATTACAATTTGGGATAGTTGAACATCTTTTGACAAATGCAATACAATTAAGGAACATATTTGGACTACAACTTTCTGTGGTCTCAACATTTTGCAGCCCAATCTTTTGTCAGACAAATTGGTGACTACATGTCTTTATGTGTTAAAGTATTTCGACGAAATAATTATCATGGATGGCACCCTTTTCTCAAGGGGTGTTGGGCCAAGAGTGACACCCTCTTCCCAAGGAGTCGCGGTTACAGTTGCCGTAGGTGACACCCTCTTTTCGAGGGGTTGACACCCTCTTTTCGAGGGGTTTTGATTTCAATTAAGATGGCTCAACATGATTTTCCCTAGAACTCGCAACCACACAGGGAAAACTAGTTAGCGTTCCATTTTTGGGTTCGCTCTCAATTCCACGTGCTTCCCAGCAATTCATGTTTGATCAATTTTGATCCAACGCATCGTTGATCAAATTTTGCAAAAAACAATTTGACCCATATCATGTTTTAAGTGGGACGCCTGCAAAAAATATGTTCATACTATCTGGCATAATTCCATCACCATCCACCCTGGCCAAGGGACCAATTGAAAGCCAGCAGCCCTTTTTTTCTGGTTCATCATGTTTTCGTAAATTTCCACGCCACCAAACCCAAAGAAGGCAAACGCAATGAAGATAACAAAGTTCCCATGAGAAAAGGGAAAGCAAAGGTGATGAACAGTGTTTTGAACATAACTAGAACATGTTGGCCAGGTGACGCCTGCAAAGGCACAAAGAAAATCAACATCAAGCGAAGGAACAAAAACAGGAGAGACACCGCAAGCAATCTCAGGGCAATGCTGGGGAAATGGGAGGGTCCCAGGGCTTGGTCCAAGTACCAAACATCAACCAACGACAAAAGTAAAAGAAAGGGAACAGTTTGTACACCCGTGAAGCCTGCGAAGCCGGTTGGCAGACGTTTCAAAACTATAAGAACGATAGTTTGCAGCAGGCTTGTTTTCCCCTTCTCTGTTTCTCTCTCTCTCTCTCTCTATTTATCTTTATCTTTCTCTCGTTTTCTCTTTATCTTCGTCTTTGTATCTCTCTTTCTCTTTGTCTTGGTATTTCTCTCGTTCTCTGTGTCTTCCGTTCTTTCTTTCTTTATTGTATTTATTCATGTCTTTATTCAAACATTTCTTGTTTATTCATTCATTTCTTTACTCATTGATTGTGTCTTTCTTTCTTTATTGATTTATTTATTCCTTGCTATGTCTTTCTTTCTGTAAATGATTATGTATTTATCTTTCCCTTTCTTTATTTTTATTTCTTTCTTTATTTCTGTCTGTCTGTCTGTCTGTTTGTCTGTCTGTCGTTCGCCATTTGCTTTCGTTATGTCATTAGTTCTTTATTTGTTTCTTTCTTTACTTCTGTCTTTCTTTCTTTCTGTCTGTCTGTTTGTCTGTCTGTCGTTCTCCTTGTTCCTTCGTTATGTCATTAGTTCTTTATTTCTTTCATTTACTTCTTTCTTTCTGTCTGTCTTTCTGTCTTTCTTTCTTTCTTTCTTTCATTATTTCTTTCTTTCCTTCTTTCTTTATTTCCTTCTTTCTGTCTTTCTTTCTTTCTGTCTTTGTTGCTTTGCTTTCTTTCTTTATGTCTGTCTTTCTTTCTTTCCGTCTTTATGTCTTTCTTTCTGTCTTTCTTTCTTTTCTTTTATTTTCTTTCTTTCTCTCTTTCTCTCTTTGTCTCCTTCTCTTTTTCTCTTTTTTCTCTGTCTTTTGTTCTTTATCTTTCTTTTTCTCGCTACCTTTCTTTTTGTCTTGCTCGTGTTCTTTCTCTTCCTCTTCCGCTGTTCTTCTGTATTATTCTCTTCGTTCTCTTTCTCTTTCTCTTTCTCTCTCCTTTTAGGAACACAAGGAGGAGCTCTGCGCTCCTTTCCTTTTCATCTCCTTCGCACTTCACGGCTGCGGCCTAAGTGGACAGCAAACCGACGCAACAAGCCGTGATTCCGGCTGTCAGAAGTCAAAACTTTCTGCCGCGTCTAGCGCATAAACTTGTCCACCCTGTGGCACCTAATGTGAGAAAGGATTAGGAAATATATGGAGGTAAGATGGATACTCTACTGACGTTAGGATGCACAACTTCTTGAGAGCCTGAAAGAGAAAGAGAAAGCGAGACCGCCTAAAATAGCCCAACCTCTTTTTCCTGGCGGGCTCGTGGCAAAAGCAAACAAAAAAGAAGAGGAGGCAGCTCCGTAAGTTCCACTTTTGCAGCAGGATTGACCGGGCGCAGGACTGCGCAGCTCGCTCGCGATAGACAAAGTGCGCCTGCATCACCGCAGCTCCTTTCATGGTCCATGTGCTCACAAACTCAGCCTTCTTTTCAAAACGAATCAGTTACAGGATGCTCACAGCCAATTGGTCAAGAGCACGCACGTGCTAATGTAAAATAATACTGATGTTGCTCATTCCAAAATTGTCAAATTTAACTCATCACGCATTCCCTTCGCAGGCCCAAGGAAGCTTAAGCTCCTGTTTTTTGTTTGCAGTTTGACCCGCCGAATCAGTGTCAACCCAACAAGGGCTCATCGAAGCCCTGTCACGTGACGAGGATTCGTCGAATCAGTGTCAACTTGGATCCTTGCCATCTTGGCGTGGATTCGACGAATCCGTGCTGAAACCGGCGCTTATTCGAAGGTTTCAGCGCTTGCTCGAGTGGATCAGCGCTGATCCGACACAAAAACCCTACTTTTCCTTGTCAAACCAGCGCTGATTCGCGAATCAGTGCTGAAACCAGCGCTTAAAGAAGGACTGGGAGCTGCGGAAGTGTACTTTGCGTACTACACTCGTACTACAAAGTTGCGATTTTCGAGCTGGAGCTGCGGAAGTGTACTTTGCGTACTACACTCTTACTACAAAGTTGCGATTTTCGAGCTGGAGCTGCGGAAGTGTACTTTGCGTACTACACTCTTACTACAAAGTTGCGATTTTCGAGCTGGAGCTGCGGAAGTGTACTTTGCGTACTACAGTCGTACTACAAAGTTGAGATTTGCGAGCTGGAGCTGCGGAAGTGTACTTCGCGTACTAGACTTTACTACAAAGTTGCGATTTTCGAGCTGGAGCTGCGGAAGTGTACTTCGCGTACTACACTCGTACTACAAAGTTGCGAGAGCTTTGCGAGTACTTTTGCGAATTCTTAAAAAGTTGAGATTTGCGAGCTGGAGCTGCGGAAGTGTACTTTGCGTACTACACTCGTACTACAAAGTTGCGATTTTCGAGCTGGAGCTGCGGAAGTGTACTTTGCGTACTACACTCTTACTACAAAGTTGCGATTTTCGAGCTGGAGCTGCGGAAGTGTACTTTGCGTACTACAGTCGTGCTACAAAGTTGAGATTTGCGAGCTGGAGCTGCGGAAGTGTACTTTGCGTACTACACTCTTACTACAAAGTTGAGATTTGCGAGCTGGAGCTGCGGAAGTGTACTTTGCGTACTACAGTCGTACTACAAAGTTGCGATTTTCAAGCTGGACCTGCTCCTTTTGTCTCTCCGTTGTCCTGCAGCTCCGCTTCCAACGTCCTATTCTATTGCATGCTTTCTGTATCAGCTTTTCATCGTGGCTGCTGAATGTTTTCTTTTATGGAAACTTGCTGCTGTTGAGACACTTGCAAAAAAGCTGCATCGCGGAAGTTCGCGGAAGATTCGCGGAAGGGCGAGGCTGCCTTTTTTGTAGCGAGGGATATGGGCAACCCTTTAAATAAATAAATACATAGATAAATAAATAAATATGTATATATATATATATAAACATATATATATATAAATGTTTTTGTGAGGCGAGGCAGCCCTCGAAAATTCGGGTCAACTAGTGCTCAAAATGCTGCGGCGGTTGCTGGGAGTCCCTGTTTTTTTGGCGACGCTGGTTCGGGTGGTGCTGCTGAAGGTGTTGTGGGGTTACTGGTTTGTTTTTGTTCTGCAACGCAGCCTGGAAGCAGTTCTGGGCGGAAGCGGCCCACAGGTAGTCGATAAGTTTCGTGAGTTTGGTTGCCCGTGACGACGAAGAAAGGGGGCTAAGCACCATGCGCCTCAACCACCTGCAGCTCACGCGTTCTTGATGGCAGGGTAGCGGGGCGGGGCAAGGAAACACAAATAATCCTGTGTCTGGTCGCCGCGTTTGTTTGGCCAGCGGGCTGACTTCTTTGATCGTGGTTTGCAACTTTGGCGATTGAAGGCTGCAGGCAGGCAGGCTAGGTTGGCTAGCAATGTTTTCGTGTTGCCCATTGTTGGTTCCGTTGCTCTGCCCCAGTGCGCTTTACTCCATGGAGCGGGCAATTGATATCTTTTTGCGCTGGCTGACAAGCGCGCTGCCCGCACAAAAGAGCAGTTGTGGCGCACGCATTTCCGCGCAGACGCGTTCCCGAAGTTTCTGCGAGAGGGTTTTGCAAAGCTTGCAAAGTTTAGAGTGGCCCGTTTCGGCGCCGTATGAATCGAGCTTAGTTACAAGCAGCGCGGTTGCAAACGCGTCCAGGGGTATGCGCTTTCTCACAGGGGTTGGCCGTCAAATGTACTTTCGACAGCTTGCTGGGCGTTATACGTTATGCGGATTTCTCACCGTTCTGGGGATTTCTGGGCAGCGCCGTTTACTGACAGTTGGTGGACAAGATCCTGAAGGGCGAGAGGGCTGCCAGCCCAGAGGCGCTGGCACGATCTGGAACGTTAGCTGCGTGAGGCAAAGCGTCGCGCAGGCGATCATGCGGGCGCGCTTTACGGCATTGCGGTTCAAGGTTGCAGCAGCATTACGCTGTTGGCACATTGGTGATAGCAGCTATGACCCGTGGAGGATCCGCAGTTCCTAGCTGCCACGGAGAAGGCGGGAAAGTGCTTTCATGTCCTGCCGCAAGCTTGCGCTCCCCTCGTTGTCGTGTTAATCGTTTTTAACATTGTCTTTTCTTTCCGTTTTTTTTCGTGCTCCGCGCGCCGGCCTCGCATGTCCGCCGCGCGGGCTGGATGGATGGACGCAATGGATGGCGGATAAGAGGGAGAGAGAGGGAGGGAGGGAGGGATGGATGGATGGATGGACCTACCCAACAACGCACACACACACACATCCACACCCACCCACCCACACCCACCCGCCCGCCCAACCCACCCACCTACCCCGTGCGCACGCACCCGCGCCCGCATGCCCACACGCCGCCCCCCCCGCCCCCAGAAAAATGGTTGAAAGATTGATTCTAAGGCAGGGGATTTTCAGTTTCATGGCATTTTTTCAAGATTATATTTTACCATATCATCGCGCCTGTTCTGTTTTCTCATAAAGGTTAAAAGTATAGTTCTCATAAAATGGTAAAATGTTTTGTCTTGGGTAGGTTTTCTATAAGACTGTAAAAATGGTGATTAATAATATCATAATGACATAATATTATCAATCTAATCACTGTTCTACTTCACTCTCTTTATTTAGGCTTTCTTATGTTTATTTGTTTCTTCGTGTCTTGATTTCTGATGTGCCACAAACTCAGTTTTACAAATAGGACATTCAATTTTTACCTTAAACCGTTCTCTTTGTTTTTCTAAAATAACATCTCTGTTATTGTCATAATATTCTTTCTTTGATTGTTTGATTTGTTCCTTCTTTCTTTCTCTGTAGTGCTTGCCCGGTTCTTGTATTTTTTCTTTGTTTTGTTCTCGGTATTGCTTTCTAAGTACTTTTATGTCCTCTTTGTTGTTTTCATAATATTCCTTTGCCTGTTGCCTTTCCTTTTCTCGGTTCTCTCTATGCTTCTCTCTACTTTTCTCACCACAACCATTACACAGTTTTTTATTATCAGTAAATTCTACATCAGGGCTTGACTTTTTACACCAACTACATTTTCGCTCATTTTGTTCCTCCATAATATGTATACCCATTATCCCTTTAAATGTTCTTGGGGAAATCAATATAACTTTTTGACAATTTTTTCATTTAATAGCAGTCTAAGATATTGACATTTTCAAGGTTCAGATTTCAGACATTTTTTAAGCTTTCTGGGGGATACAAGTGTTGAATCGTATTATAAGTTGTTAATATGAATAAACTGATTGAATTGTACTTTTACAAAACACTCACTAATCTTCTTTTATAGATTCAAAATTCGCTACAATTATAACACATAATACTTTACAAGTTATACTATGATTATAATTTCAGTTCAGGATAATAATTTAATTGATTCATCTTACTTCTTTCGTACATCATTTTAAAAATAATATTAATATCTCTCACTGTATTTTGAACATTAAACTTTTTACTTTCAATAAATAATTTGATATGTTCTTTAACATTTCCTCCTTTCTCTTGACTATAACCCAACATCCATAATATATCATACATCATGTCATATTTTCTTACTGATTTCAAGAAACTGTTTAACATAATCGTAAGGTGGTATTTTATTTACAGTTAGAAATATTAAAATCTCATCTTCTACATTTCTATTATGTATTCTTTTTATTGCCAACAGACATTTGATTGATTCTTGATAATATCTCCAATTTCTACAATTTTTTCATAAATCTTCATCCATTGAATAATTAATAATATTATTCACTATTTCATTAGGTAAATTCAATTTATACAATTTCATATTTTCCTTTTTGAAGTGACAACAATCATAGCATTTTTTTTATTGATATAATTATTGATTTCATCACCGTTCATTTTCCTCTTAATATATAAGTAAATATGTCTTTAAGTAGTTTTTATAGGGTTTATTTAAGATCAAGATCTATGTTATGAGCTGTTGTTATGTCCATTTTTACGGCTTTCTGGGGGATATAAGTGTTTAATCATCTTATAAGATAATAATACAAATAAACTGACTGAATTCTACTTTTACATAACACTCACTAATTTCATTATAGGCTAAAAGTTCCCTCAAGTTCGCTATAATTATAACATATAAGAATATAAATGTTATAATTATGATTTAGTTTTGAATTACACAGGTTCATCAACAATTAGTTTAAACCTTATGCTTTTTAAACCTTCAAAATTCATTCTACTTCTTTCATCATCAATACAACTGTATATTTGTTGATGTGCCGCTCTCATTACATCAGCTATATTATCTATGGTTATATTATCTACAACATCATCACTATGAAAATTTAAAGTAAAAGTGCTAAATTCATCGTCTTCATAATAATTGAAATGATGAAATATTACAAACATATCTATCCTAACTATTATCGTTGCTTCATAACCTTCATCGGTTGCAATGCCATCTAACAAACAATCTAAGTTTTCATTTTCATTAAAAAGTATATTTTCAATGCTTTTAATGCTTAAAGGTATATTTCAAGAAATGTAATACTTAATTACGCGTCTCTTTATATCATAACTATCTTCAACAGTATAGTGCTTTGTCTTTATTTTTGTTTCAGTTCTGTTTATTTTATAATCATTTTGTATTCTCTTTAATGTCTTAATATGATTATGTTTGATTTTTAAATACTCAGGTTCACCTAATTTATATGAAATGATACTTTTTAATACTTCAACAGGTAAGTTAGTCCAGTTCTCAACCATAAAATTATTCTCTGTCATTTTACCCTCGCTCATTTTCTCTTAATATATTAAGGTCTCATTTCTTTAAGTATATATTTGACTTTAAGGTAGTTTAAAAAATATTATATGATAATAATATTAATACACTTAATCTGAATCACTATCAACAATATCTCTATAATTAAACCCTTCTATAATCAACCTTGTCTTTTCTAACAAATGACAGACGAATTTATGGTAAAACTCATTATCAAACATGTTTTTATAAACGACTTTGTCTTTGTTTTCTATATATTGCCATTTCAACATTTTAAGAAAATCCCTACACATCGAGATGCTAAAATCTTTACAAGATACATAACCATCATTATGATTAAAAAGTAAATTATAATGAAATTGAGTAGCGGTTTCATAGTACAAGATTAACCTATTATCGTATCCATACTCTTTTAATGTTTTGTCAAAATCAGTTGTAAATATTGTCTGTAATGACTTTTTCGTCGGACATTTATTTGACCTCGTCATATACCAAATCCACTTATCCATTTCTTTTAAATTGTCAGGTTCGTTTTTCATTACATGTTTTGTAATGGTGCATCTTTTACAACATACAAAACTCAAAGTATTATCAATGATACAGTCAGGTAATATGTCATTTGCTTTTTTAACTTTGTTGTTGAATATCTGACAACCACGACATTTTACCATTTCTTTTGTCAATTCTTCTCTGATACACTTGTTCATTTTTCTCTTAATATATTAAGGAGTCATTTCTTTAAGTAGTTTTATTTTTTCTTCTTGCCTCTGCTACTTTTTGTGTCAGCGCTTTCTGGGTTTCTGCTCCTGCTTCTTGTTTCCATTTGTTCCCTCGTCCATTCACTACCTCTTGCTATTTCTTCGGGTGACCGACTTCTGCTTCTCGTTTCCATTTGTCTTATGCTCCATTGACTGCCTCTTGCTCTTTCTTCTGGTGAGTGACTTCTGCTTCTTGCTTCTACCTGTCGTCTTGTCCAGAATGATGCCCTCGGTTGTTCTTCTTCCTGTTCTCTTGATTGTTCTGATGGTGTGGATGACTTCTTTTCTCGTTTGAAGAATTCAAATATGCTCTTGTCTTCTCCACCTACAAATATGTTTCTTAACGACTTTATTTCTCGGCTTTCCTCTTTCTTCTCTTCCTCTTTCACGGTTGATGCTGACGATGATGACGTTAAATGAAGACTTTGTAAATCTTCCTGCTTTTCATCTTTTGGTTCATCTTTTGGTTCATCTTTTGGTCCTGAAATTGCATTGCTATAAATTTCATCAGCAAAATCTTTTGCTACATATCGTGTTGTTTGTGCGTCTGCCTCGTTGTTTTCATATAACTGTGATGTTGGTGCTACTTCAGCAAACATACCAGGGAACAATTCGTACTGAAGAACTTGTTTATCAGCTTGAACCCTAGCATTCAACCGTAGTCTCCTATCGTATTTTGAAATTGATGTGTCAAATGTTTGTCTTTCAGGGATAATTTCAATTTTTAATCTGTGTGTCATCGCTTCTTTCAGCATTTCATCAAATGTAGGGCGTCGTCTTAATCCATAATATTTATGAGTCATATTAAGTATTATAGATTATTTATTGTTGAGTTGCTTTATGGACGAAGTATTTATTATAAACAGTGTCCTCATAATATTTTTGTAGTTTAACCTTCACTTCGTTTCTATGTACTCCTGTTGTATTGTTATTTTCATATAGTAATTCTTTGAACTCATCATATTTAACCGCGTTAATTACATTGAATTGATGTAGTTTTGAAATTATACTATCCATTAAACTTCTTGGATTTTTTGCTAAATACACCGGCCACATCCACTTTATACCACTTAAATAATTTTTGAAAGTTCGTTCGTCATCAACTTCTTCATTTTCAACATTTTTCATTCTATTTAGACTGCTTGCTCTTGCATGTCCATTATCTCAGCATTAGTAATGGTTGTTTGCGCGTCATCGTCATCATCCTTACCTTTTTTTAAATGCTTCTACTTCAACTACAGGGTCGTCTTCACGTTCATCTTCTTCTTCCTCCTCCTCTAATGGTTCTAATTCTGGCATTTCATCAGCGGACACCTTTGAATGAATTTCTACACCTTCTGGTATTGATTGTTTTGAAACAGCACTTGCCATTTCTTCGTGTTGTTCTCTCCAAAGTCTCATTTTTTCAGCAAGTTCTTCTTTCTGTTTGTTTGTTTCCACCAATCTTTCATTAATGAAAGACTGCTGTTGTTTCAGTGTGTCAGCAAGTTTCAGTTCATCATCAAGTTTAGCTCTTACACTACCACC